TATATGGGAATGCCAAAGCATAAAGAAACCCTTTACAAAGAAGAATTCTTAGACACTAGTCCTAGAATCTCAACAAATTACAGGAACCAGCACAGACTTAATAGTTTACATAGTCAACTCAGAGGAGTACAATAACCTAGAAGTAAATGAACATTACAAAGACACCAAGAGCAGTAATAAACAAACTCATAGCAAGAAGATATAGGACAAGGGGCAGGATACTCAGAGCCCTAAGGAAACCCCCCTCAAGCAAAACCATCCCATAAAAAGACCTATATTTAATATAGTCACCCAGTAGGAAGCCTTCAACACCATAGAAGTTAACAAAGAGTTAGACAATGATAGATAGCCTAAATCAGAAGAGGAACCAACTGACAGGGAAACCATAGCCTACTAGATAATAAAGGAAGAGCCAATAGGAGGAAGTGACAAAGAGTCAATACATGACTCATTGCCAGAACTCCAAGACACCTTTAAAGAATTCTTCTCATAAGAAGATCAGGAGAGACTCTTACAAATTACCAACTAGACCAGCCAACTCAAAACAATCATAGATAAAATCAGCAAGAAAGCCTACAACAAAGACCCAGCACAGTTCCCTACTTTAAATAGGTCCCACATGACAGAACTCTATATTAAAGTAATAAGCTTTGACCCAACCAGCCATACACTTTAAAGAATTAAAGAAGAACTAGAAACCTTAGAAAGGGCAAGACTACTAGCTTGACAATGGATAATAGAGAACACTTAAGCAAGGAACTGGCTAGAAGCCTATGAGTAGGAATCCCTTTAATAGGTCCACTAACACCAATAGGAAACCACCAATAGATAGTTCCCCTAGATAAAGACAACAAGCTCCCCAGCAATAGACCCAGAACACCCCAAATATTACCTAGTACTATGGCTTAACTATTTCTTCAATAATTACATAGACAATAAGCACATTGCCCTAAAGTTACTCCATAGACATTACCTAGCACCTAGGGAAGGAGACAGGTCAGTTCTAGTACAGACAGTACCATACACTAAGTATAAGGTCTACTTCTCAATTAAAGAAAACCATAAACCAGAGTATATTTACCTATTTCAGAATACACTAAAAGCATATTAGAACTACTATAACATAAAAGACTACATACATACATTCTGCCAGTTCCACACACCTAAGAGAACCTAGTACTTTAAGAAAAAGGAACTAGAGGAAAGAAAGAAACAACATGCCTAAGTCACTTAAACAAGAAACCCTATTAGAATCACAAATGTCAATAACATGGCATGGAAAGAACTAAGTACCATCAAACCTTTCCAACTATAAGCTAAAGACTAGAGATTAAAAAGAGACACTTATAAGAAAGTAGACAGAATAAAGTTCCCCCTCTAGTATATCACCCTTAAGCCCATGGCCTTAAGTAGGGAATACATAGGAAAAGGAGGGAGCTTTTTAAGCAAGAGCAAGTAAGACCACTAAAGTGGCTAATCAAAGACCAGAGGAGAAGGAAGAGGCCCTCTAGGTTAGGATCAATAAGTCCTCTGAAAGAATAGGCAGTCAGAGCCCTAAGAATGGGAAATGCTAGGAAGGACTTCACCATTCCCATCCTTCTACCTAGAGCAAAAGAACCCACCAACACATTGATCAACTCAGGGAGCAATATCAATATAATTAACCCTATGATTATCAACCTCTACCAACTACCCTACCAGTTACATAAAAAACCAGTAACAATCAGAACATATGAGGGCAAGAAGGCTCTCTATGAAGGAGGATTGGTGAAGTAATGGTCAAAACTCTTAATCATAGTAGACAATAACTACCAAGAGACAATCTTCCAACTATTACCAACAGGTAGTAAGTGTTCCATAATACTAGGAAAACCCTAGTTGTTAAAATACAATCCCAACATTGATTAGAAGAAAGGAACCATGTCCTTATAAGACAAAGAGTAGGACACCTAAGAAAAGGGAACCCCTGAAGAAGATAATACCTTAGGAGAACTAGAAGAAGATATTAGTAAAGATATATAATTATGGATTTAGATCATAATGATAAAAGACCTAGATAAAGAGTCCTTGCTACCCAAACCTAGTAAAGATCTTAGAGATCTATTAAAGATACCAAAGGAGTATCTATAGTACTTACTATTTAGAAAAAAGTTAACCAAACTACCCAAACATAGCCCTTATGATCATAAGATCAAGTTAAAAGAAGAAGCCAAGCTAAGGTTCTTCCTAATATACCACCTAAACCCACAACAAGACAGGACACTAAAAGAATACATTAAAGAACAATTAGCCATAGGATTCATCAAACCATCATAGTTAGAAGCAGGATACCTAGTCCTATTTATTCCCAAGAAAGGAACCATAGACTTATAAATAGTAATGGACTACTAAACCCTTAATGAGGATACCATTAAGAATCAATATCCATTACCCTTAATATTAGAAATAAGAAAACAAGTAGCCAAAGCAAATTGGTTTACTACCCTTAATTTCCCAATAGGCTACAATCATATTCATATCAAGGAAGGAGATAAGTATAAGATAGCTTTTAGAGCATATTATAGCCATTATCAGTATAAAGTAATGCCCTTCAGACTCATAAATATACCCATAACCTTTCAAGAAAAAGTAAATAATATACTATATTACCTCCTACATTTTATGTTTATATATCTAGATAATATCCTGATATTCTTAGAAACAATAGAGAAATATAAAAAGCACATACATACAGTACTATAAGCCCTGGAAAAAGTGGATTTTTCAGTATACCCTAGAAAGAACTAATTCCATATCCAAGAGTTATCATACCTAGGGTTTAAGATAACCCTAGGATAGATCATGATAGAACCATTAAAGTTAAATATAATTTAGGACTAGCTAATACCAAAAACCCAGAAAGATATATAAGCCTTTATAGGTTTCATTAACTTCTACTATAGGTTCATATGATACTTTGGAGATATTGTAAAACCCATAAACATATTGATAGGTATAAGGAAACCTTTTAAGTAGGTAGAAAAACAGTAATAAGCTTTTAAAAGCCTAAAGAAAGTATTCACCCAAGCCCCTGTTTATGCCCTACCCAACTCATATAAAAAGTATATTATCAAGATAGACTTTTCAGACTATATATCAGGAAGAGTATTAAGCTAGTATAGAGATAATAAAAAGCTATACCTAGTAGCCTTCCTTTCAAAAGGACTATATGGGGTAGTAGTGAACTATAACATTAGAGACAAAGAATTAATGGCCATTATCTAATGCCTAGAGGAATGGGTACTATACCTAAGTAGCATGGAAGAACCCTTTGATATCCTTATAGACCACTTAAACCTAAGGACATGGGTAACTAAGAAACTCAATAGAAGACAAACCTAATGGGCTAAGTTTCTCATGTAGTTTAACTTCAAGATATACTATGTTAAAGGAAAGGAAAATGAAAGAGTAGATATACTAAGCAGAAGAACTAACCATAAAACAGAAGACAAACCCAAGACTTTACCTATCCTTTAAGAGTTAAAAGATGGAACCCTTAGAAGAGTATCATAAGTATTCCTGGAATGTTATACCAATTACCAAGTAGAATGGTAAAATAATAACTTCTAATATAAAAGAGATATACTTAATAATAAAGAACTCTTATTAGAAGTGGAAGGAGGAGTAGAGAATGACTTGTTACTTTGGTACCATGGGAAAGCCTATGTTAAACCAAAAAGACAAGAAGAATATATTTACAAAATATATAAGGCCTACATAGGAGGATATATAGGAATTGCCAAGACACTAGACCAATTAAGAAACAGCTATGATTTCTTAAAGGCAAAGGGAGTAATAGGAAAAGTAGTATACAACTATAATATCTATAATAAGTCAAAAAACCAAAAACATATATAATATAGTCTACTAGAACCATTACTAGTCCCAGAACAAAAATGGAGTTCTATTTTAATAGACTAGGTATCAGGGATACCTAACTTAAAAGATCTAGTAATAGGTATCAAGTATGACCAGATCTAGGTTATAGTAGATAGACTTATAAAATGGGCCTACTTCCTACCAGTAAGGAAGGATATGAAAGTAGAGTAACTTACTTACCTTTTCAAAAGAAACTATATTATAGTATACCTATGGCCTGATAGTATAATAATAAATAAAGATAAGCTGATTGTCTTTACCTTTTAGTAAGGATTAATAACAAGGATAGGAGTTAAGAGCAAACTCTCCACTACCCATCACCCATAAACAGACAGACAGACAGAACAACTTAATCAGACCCTTAAAACATACCTAAGAGCCTATGTCAACTTCAAGCAAGACAACTGGCTAGAACTATTACCAATAGCATAACTAGCCTACAATATAATAATGGTAGAATCCACAAAAGTATCGCCATACTTTATAGTTTTTGGCTAAGAACCTAAACTCAGAAGAGGACCACCCTGCAAAGCACCAAGAGTAGGAGTCAGGGCAGATAGGATCCAAGAACTCATAGAGCTATTAAAGGAGGAACTTAAGTATATATATGAAAGGATGAAACACTATTATAATAAACATAAAGTTAAGGGACCAACTCTAGAAGAGGGAGACCATGTCTACCTGTTCTCTAGAAATTTAAAGATAAAATAACCAAGTAGGAAGCTTGACTTCAAAAGGTATAGGCCATTCCAGATCAAAAAGAAGGTAGCAATAATAAACTATAAACTTGACCTATCAAAGACCATAAGAGTCAGAACCAGAGTCTTCCACATATCACTACTAGAGCCAGTACCAAAGAATGTCCTACTGGAAAAAAGGATGGAAGTGGAGGCAGACAAAGAAGAATTCAAGGTAGAGGAACTCCTGGATTCACAATTCAAGAAAAGAGTATTACAATACCTAGTCAAGTAGCTTGGCTACAGACCTATAGACAACTCCTAGGAACCACACATAGGACTTCAGTACCTAGAGCTGGTCAAGGATTTCCATTGCCTAAATCCCAACAAACCAAAAAGGAAAAGTACCCCCAGGAGGAATTGAACCCCCAACCTCTCCGGCACTACATAGGACAACTTGCCGCATGGGACATGCATAAGTTGCCCCATCCACAAGAGCGAAGCGCACTACCACTGCACCACAGGGACAGAATTGTTGAAAACGGCCTGGGTTATGATGACCTATAAAGACCTAACATACCTAGACACAAGGCATTAGCATACAAATCTCCATTTTTTCCTTATCTCCTTTTTTCCTTATATTATCAGGAAAGAAAGGGTATTTACCCAGGGTCAGTAGAGGAACTAGCAATAGGACCCATGTTATCCAGAAGTTCAGGATTAAGCCAGGAGCCCAAGGAGAAGCCCAGGACAGGAGCAGACACTTACTCCAGTGCCTCAAGTTCTACAATGTCCTGAGACTCCTAAGCAAAGGCCTTATAGGCTCTTTCCTCTAGAGCACGGCGTTATTTACATAGCCAAAGGAGCCTTGACTAGGCCTCCATACTGTCTGACAAAGCCTTCTCTTTAGCCTCGTCAAGTTTATTCTTTTGACTAATCAGAAAGTTAAAGACCAACTGACTCAGACCTGTAACATCATAAGAAGGGGCGTTTGACAAAGCATAAGGACCATAGTGTCAGAGCCTGCTAGTGACCTTGCATTTAAGGTTCTTGTTGTTACAATGGGTACACAAAGGCATCGGAGAACCAAACAAGAAAGAGTTGATGGCAGAACAAAGGCGACATGCGGTACTAAGTTCAGGATCAGAAGGAGGATCTTTTCATTTGCGACCCATTGTGAAGAAGGAAATAGGAATGGGTTGAACAGCAATTTCAGACGGCGGGGTAAGCACGTTCTTATAGTGGAGCCACAGCAGATCTTCAGGGCAGAAGATCTAGGAAGGGGAGACCGCATGTGACGTCCCACTCAGGGAAGTGGAGTCATATGGTTTGCCATATGATTTACAGTGATCTATATGAACTTCAAACAGATCGCATAGATCAGTGTACTCGGTCCTTAATCTATATGATCTTCAAACAGATCGCACAGATCATGTTTATGCCCACCAAGAAGGATACAAGTTACCTTATTCCCCGCTATTAGTTAGCCAGTATAAGTAGCCATTATGTACCGTACCATGGAGCGTGAGGATTCCTGTTCCTCATGCAAGCAATTACATTCTATTGTGTCCCATCACTTTACAAGTCTTTGGTAATAGTAATCTGTTCAACAGAGTGTGAACCCCCTTCTTGAGATACTTGCCTTCAAGAGTTAACCTTCCCCACAACCCCAACCCTAGAGCGTGCGGCTCTACGATCTGTTGTTCAATACCCGGTACTTAGGTACTTAGTGTACAGGTTGTAACATAAACTTCTTTATCCAGGCCTGGGATTCTTATAGGGTAGTACAGAGTTCCTTATAGACCATTATCATCCAGTAGGCCATGATTTTACTATGTAGGTTATATGTAGTTTTATCAGGGGGGTTGTGTGTTATTGGGTGGATTCTGTAGTTAATATAGAAGGGAGAGCTATTAATAGAGGTTAATCTGGTGTTATTCCATGCAAATTCAGTAGTAGGGAGCAGGGTGTCCTAGTTATTTATCTTATAGTTCATAAAGGCCTTGAGATATATCTTGATATATTAGTTAAGATATTTAGTCTAGCCATTAGTTTCTAGGTGGAATGATATTGACATTTAGGGCTTGATTCTAATATATTTAAGGAAGTCTTACCAAAGGTCTATATTAAATCATAAGTCCTGGTTAGATATAATACCTATAAATGTTCTATAGTGCTTTCAAATATTATAGGTGAAAACTAGGATGAGGTCTTGAGTCTTCTTAGCATTATCTTTAAGAGGTATGAAATGTGCCATTTTGGTAAAGGTATTGACCACTATCTAGATTGAACTATACCTATTACTTAGGGGTAAGTCCATGATAAAGTCCATGGAAATAAGTCTCTATAGAGAGTATTCCAACTTGATTAGGTAAAGAGGACTGAATGGGAAGTAACATCTTGGTTTATTGCCTTGACACTTATGACAGGAGTGTATGAATTTAATAACATTAGTTTCTAGGTTTTGCCACCATATATACTATCTAATAAGTTCAATAGTCTTATCCATGCCCATATGGCCTATTACCTAAATGTCATGTTTGGATTGTATGATGTGTTTTTTAAACTCCATATTATCAGGAATCCAGATATGTCCCTTAATAAACAAAACACCATCCTGGTTGTTAATATCTTTTCTAGGGATTACCAGAGCCTATTGGTATACCATATTGGTTAGTATGGCTTCCTTAATAAGTCTAAAGAAATCCTTATTCCATTTAGGCTTAGGGATACTATAGAGTCTGGCCTTTATAAGGATTAATGGTGGGCCTTTTGAATAAGAAAAGTGTTTTTTATTTAAAACTAAGGTTATTGGCTAGTTCTTACCCCTTTCTTCTAGTTAATATTCTTTATATTATAAGAATATATCTACTTTACTATTTTAGGTACCTGGTTAGTAGTTAATGATAAAGTCAAAGGTGGAGAGCTACTTGGCCTATTGGGCTTGGTGGTAGTTAAGAACCTTAGCTGTCTGAAAGTAGGCTAAGTTATAATAGTCTAAGAAGACTTTAATATAATGGGCTACCCCTTCTAGGTAATATCTCTATTACTAGAACCTATTAACTATTACAAGGAGTTCTTTATTATAGATCTCATAATTGATCTTAGTAGAAATTAGCTTCCTAAAGTAAAATACTACCAGGTGCTATTATCCATTGTCTCCTTGTTAAGATATGATTAGCCCTAAGGCCTAATCTAAACAGTCTGCTTCTATTATGGTTTAGTAACTAGGAATAAAGTATGCCAGGATAAATGCTTCTATAAATGCCTTTTTAAGGGTATTGAAACTTAATTATATATGTTTAGTCTAATGCCATGATTTCTTATCTAACTTGGTAGAGTTAATTAAGGGTTTAGTAACTTTAAAGAAGTCCTTAATATAGCACCTATAGAAGTTTATAAAGCTATTAAACTACTATACTTTCTTAAGATAGGTAAGGGTTTTCTATAAAAGGATATAGTTAACCTTGTCAAGGGACATCTTAATTCCCTTATTACTAATAATATAACCAAGGTATTTAAGTTCCTTAGTATCCCAAATATACTTTTAGAGGTTGATGGCTAGATTATTCTCCTTAAGCCTCTAAAGGACTTAGAGAAGGATCTTATCATATTCCTCCTAAGTAGGGATATAGATGAGGAGGTTATTAATATAGGTATAGAGTCCCTGGTTAATGTCTTTGAATATTTTATTGACTATAGCCTAAAAGGTTATAGGGGCATTAGTTAACCTAAAGGGCATTATTATAAACTTGAAAAGTCCAAAGTAAGTTTAGAAAGCCATTTTCTACTTATATCCTACTTTTATCTAAATCAGGTTAAATCCTATTTTAAGGTCTATCTTTATAAAGATAATAGATCCTACTAGGGCATTTTATAATTTAATAATAAGGGGAAGTGGATAATGGTTTTTTACTATTTAGTTATTTATATCTTTAAAGTCTACTATAGGTTAAAGGTTCTTAGGGTCTTGTGTAGCTACCTTTTCCATGGAGGTATCCTTGTTGATAAAGAAAATAAGTAAAGAGTATAAAGACTTGGAGTTATGGATCTTTCCTTCTATAAGCATATAATTGATCTACTTATGAAGGATTTTCTTTTCTAGTTATAACATAGGGTATAATAGGCCCTAGGGAAGCTACTAATCTCCTATGATATTGATTATATAATCCTAGGGTTAATAATCTAGAAGCCTCTTTGTTGTTTTAGGGCTTATAAGGGGAGTAAAGTCCTTGAATCTCTTAGGGATTTATTAGACTAAGGAGGAGATACTGGTAAAGACTGATGATAAAATCTTGGCTTTAAACTTCTTCTTACCTAGCATTACTATTAATATATAATTATGCTGGCAATAGGTACTAAAAAAGGAGATTTTCCTAGTGTCTATGTCCCAGAGGTGGTCAGGCTGATGTTTCTAGAGCTACTAATAGGGAAGAATGACATTATATTTATCTTTAAGGGAGGATATCTTAAAGGAAATGTGGGAGAAATGGTCTTCCTGATACTATAAGACCAGCTGCCTTATATGGAACTTGCCACTTATAGGGTCAATGGTTGTATTAAAGGCTTCTAAGGGCCTGGTGTATTTGTGTTTGACTTTGGGTATTAACCATTTGTCTGCTAGGGCCTTGCTTATGATGGGTCCTGAGGCCTTTATGTTAAGGAGTGTTTATATAGGTATCTTAGAAGCTCCATGGTACATAATGGTCATGGGTATGATCTTATGTTTCCTATAAACAGGCTCTTGTATTAGGGTTCTGGCCTTCTTGGCTAGGTAATCATTATTAGGCTCCATAAGGGGTTGTTTTTTGGGAGCTGAGATGGAAGAAATGACTTTTTGGGGGAAGATTCTAGGTGTTGTTGGTGCCTGGTCCCTGTTTAAAAATCTGAACCATTAGAGTCATCAGATAACTCCAGGATCTGGGGAAACATTTTAGGGAACTTGTTGGCTGTGATGGTTGTGCTGACCTTGGGTTTCTTGGTGGATGGTGGAGCTTTGTTATTAGTTTTGGGCTCCATGTCCTTAAACTGGGCTTTCTTGGCACATATAGCCTTTGGTGGTCTTGGAATTTCCTTGCCATCCTATGATTTCCCACTATAGCATTTCAGAGTATCATGTCCCTGACATCTATAGTGGTGGCAGGCTTATTCTCTTTTATGTTTCTTGATGTTGGCCCTGTCCATACTAGTAATAGCTTCCTTATAGGAGTTCTAGTACTTCTCATGGTTAAAGGCTGGCTTAGGCTTATCCTCCTTCTTACTATGCTTATACTTCTTGTCCTTTTTAGGCTTCTCCATAATGGGTTTATTAGAGTAGGAGCTGGGTTTATTATCCTCCTTTTTATCCTCCTTTAAGTACTTCTTAGAACTTAAAGTAAACCTGTCTTTTCCCTATTGATTTCTATAAAGAATGGCATAGTCCTTTATTTTTTCTTCATGAAGAAGGCCTATAGAGACAATAGCTTTAAAGAAGTCTATGTTATTAGCTGGAATACTATTAGTATATAAGTACATAAGGTCTAAGATAG